TACTACCAGAGTACTACCAGAGCACTACCAGGGCACTACCAGGGTACTACCAGAGCACTACCAGAGCACTACCAGGGTACTACCAGAGCATTGCCAGAGCACTACCAGGGTACTACCAGGTAGCATTGACTGATCCAACATCTATTCAATAATCTCTAGGGTCCATGTTCAGCTCCTGTCTCAGGCTCCTCTCCTGGGTCATGGGACCCATTACTCATCCTGCTGCTGGTTGATGCATTTCTTTGATCCCTTTAGTTCTGTTCATTTAAGAAAAATAATAATCCATGGATTAACTGCACTTCACCTAAAGCTGATAACCACCTACAGAAATTGTAATCTGCTAATTATTATCATAATATTAATAATAGAACTTTATTGATCTTACAATGGAGTAATTCCCTCTGCATTTAACCCCTCCCCCTGAGGAGCAGTGGGCAGCCATTGTGCGGCACCCAGGGAGCAGTGTGGGGTTAAGGGTCTTGCTCAGGGACCCAGAATGGAGGCTGTGGGAGTGAAGAGTAAGTTCTATGCCCGGACTACTAGGCCGCCCCTCCCCTTATGAGAAATAAATGATCTACTGTTAGCTGCCGGGTTTAAAGGGACCCTGTTTACCACTGAGCCGAGCCCCTCTCTGTCAGTCTGATCTGGGTTCGCTTTGTCTCTGCCGTCTTCCTGCTTTTCTTATGCTTCTTTTTCTTTTCAGCTGAAGGTCTTAAACCCAGAAAAGCCCGGCTCTGAAGTAAATTTTCGCAAGCTGCTGCTAAACCGGTGCCAGAAGGAGTTTGAGAAGGACAAAGATGATGATGAGATCTTTGAGAAGAAGCAGAAGGAACTGGAAGCTGCCTCTGGGGTAAAGTTTGGTTCTGAACAGGAAGTCTTTGCTGTCATGGTTTCTGATCTTCATCCTAAAGCTCCGCTCTGTCTCTGCTAGGAGGAGGTGAAGCAGCGGCTGCGAGAGGAGCTGGAGGAGGCCAAAGACAAAGCCAGGCGGCGCTCCCTGGGCAACATTAAGTTCATTGGGGAGCTTTTCAAACTCAAAATGCTCACTGAGGTGATCATGCACGACTGCATCGTAAAGCTGCTCAAAAACCATGACGAGGAGTCTCTGGAATGCCTCTGCAGACTGCTGTCCACCATCGGCAAGGACCTGGACTTTGAGAAGGCCAAGGTAGCAGAACCACACAGAACGTTCACTGAGGTGAGCTGGGGAGCAGAAGCTAACTGAACCTCTGTCCACTTTAGCCTCGGATGGACCAGTACTTCAACCAGATGGAGAAAATTATCAAGGAGCGGAAGACCACCTCCAGGATCCGTTTCATGCTGCAGGATGTGCTGGACCTCCGACGGGTAAATCTCTTTAGACATGCTTGATTCAAACAGATCTCAGAAGGAGAAGGAACTGTTAGATGTTGTCCCTGGAGAAGCGGCGCCAGTCTCTAACCGTTGAGATGCAGCGCCAGTCTCTAGCCCTGGAGAAGCGCCGCCGGTCTCTAACCGTTGAGATGCG